AAGATAAATTCATAGACTTATCTTTTATGTATCCACAAATCCTAATCTGTACCCGTTTGGAACCAAACAGATCTAAGAACACTCGGTTCTTCATCAGTTACACCAAGTAAGAAACTAAAAATCAGAAAGAAGAAAAAGAAGAATCTCAAATGAGAACTGTTGCAGTTTCTCTCAGAAATCACACCCACAATTAACTCCAATATAGCCATATGAAGTGTTTAATAAACCCATAAAAGAATCCAAAAGCCTATCCGACAGTTTCAGCAAGTCCACTTGTCAAAATCTCATGCAAACCCTCACATAAAGAAGTGGTAGCACACGTCACACATGCAGAGCACATCATAACATCACCACGCTCTTAAACATTATATAAAGAGGTATAAGCAGGAAGTCTTTCATTCACATTTGACTAAAGCTGCCTTTTATCTCTCTCTCAATTATGGAGTTCTCTGTGAAGTCATTTGCAGTGGTGTCCTTTCTGCTGTTGGTTTCCCTGTCCACTGGTTTGAAATTTATTCAACTCCATAGCTTTTCAACTACCTTTCATTAGCCACGCACGCACGTTAATTTACCAAATAAGAAATAACCCTAATAACTTTGATTTCATAGCAAAGCATTCGCATTTTCTACATTGGAGCGTATCATACATGTATATATTGAACTGTGCTTGTGTAGTAAAATAGTGTATCTTTTACTATTTTTTCTTGTATTAAGCTGATATGAGTTGTCCCCTTGTGGATATTCTAGGATGTGACCCGCAACTTTGTAAACAATACTGCTCTAATCAGGGTTTGCCAACATGCTGCGAAGGTCCGGGTTTCCCGTGTCTTTGCCAAGCAATTTGCCCACGTAATCGTATTAAGAGTGGTCCTCCTGTGGTGAATGCAATGGGATGTGACCCGCAAATTTGCCAAGCATACTGCGAAAGTCAGGGTTTGCCATGGTGCTGCGCAGGAGTATTTGGCCCGTGTCTTTGCCAAGAAATTTGCCCACGTATGTAAACATAAACTTAATGATATGTTGCCTTACAGATTGAACCTGGCTTCCTTATGTTTGCACTAAAATTTCGCCTCATTGATTGCAGTTGCAGACTCTGATCCAAAAAAAATTACTGAGGAGGCAAAGGCTGGTGAAACAGACAAAGAACCTTTCATCAAGGAGATGGTAATCGCTTGATGCTTTTGTGCAAATGCAGAAGAATAAATTACTTATCTACCTATGAAGCCGGTTGAGTCAATAAATATGTAGATCTCTATTTGGAGATCT